GGATGAAACATCCAAGATCCATTAGTACATCAACAATAAGGCCCCAACCGATGACATGCTCAGTGAACGTCTCAGACAACAGCGAACAGAGGAGACACTGGAAATACCATCGTGGGACGACAAACCCTTACATGGGATGTACCACTGACAGATAACTGAAGTGGTGATATCAAGAAATCCTTGTAATGGTTAGAAAGAGCTGGTCTGAAGGACAGCAGAGAGACACTCATCATGGCAGCACAGGAACAGGCCCTGATCACCAGAGCCACAGAGGCCAAGATCTACCACACCAGACAAGACCCAAGGTGTAGGCTATGCAAAGAGGTCCCTGAGACAATCCACCACACAACTGCAGGGTGTAAGATGCTGGTAGGAAAAGCATACACAAAATGCCATGACTAAGTGGCTGGTTGTACAGAAACATTTGTGCTGAGTATGGACTGGAGGCCCCAAGGTCAAAGTGGGAAACACCCCCTAAGGTGGTAGAGAGCTTCTGTGGGACGTCCAGATCCAGACTGACAAAATGGTGATGGTGAACCAACCGAACATTGTGGTGGTGGACAAACAACAGAGGACAGCCGTTGTGGATTATGTGGCAATACCAAGTGATGGCAGCATCAGGAAAAAGGAACACGAGTAACTAGAGAAGTACCAGGGCCTCAAAGAACTTGAGAAAGCCTGGAGAGTGAAGTCATGGGTGGTGCCCATGGTCATCAGGGCACTCGGGGCAGTAACCCCCAGACTGAAGGAGTGGCTAAAACAGATCCCAGGAAAAACATCAGACATCTCAGTCCAGAAAAGTGCAGTTCTAGGAACGGCTAAGATATTGCAGAACCCTCAAGCTCCCAGGCCTCTGGTAGAGAACACGAGCTTGGAAGGATGAGACCACCCGCGTAGGGTGGTCTCATACATATAAACATATAGACACCCCCCACACACACACACACCCACACCCACACACACACACACACACACACACACACATATATATATATATATATATATATATATATATATATATATATATATATATATATATATATATATATATATATATATGTCTGCATTTGGAGAATCCTTAGTGGTCCTTTCTCACATTCATCCCTCTCACACACACAACATCACAGAGAAAACACAAATCCTGTCAATAGATCCTTGGATTTGGAAATGGCCGGCTGGCTCCCTTCCCTCTCTTACAGTGCCAGATCAGCGGGGTCTGGAGATGAATCATTGATGACCAGTTCCAACAGCCTAATGGCCTATAATGTTCCGTAATGATCCCCCGTCAACGCCACGTGCACGCTCTTAATGGATCCAATACCATTGGGGGTTCTGTGGTTTGGACTTTGATGTCTTGGCCTCTTTTTTTGTGGAGCAGCTCACAACAGGAAGTGCAAAATGCCATGAGCACAGAGCTGCGGAGCTCCACGGGCGCAGCATGGCTTTCCCTCTTCGGCGATCAACTTCAGGTAAGGCCAGAAGGAAAACCTTTAATGGGCCACTTGGAAAAACGGAGTCCCAGAACTCAGGACTCCTTTCATATTGTGATGTTTTAATCTGCTTGGAGACTAAGACGTATCATTGTTGTAGAGAATAAGTGCAGAAAGTCCTCTGATGGCAGTTTTAGGAATAACTGTGACTTATTGGGATTTTTGAGACACACACATTTCAGTTGATCAAATGTATTTAAACCAGTATAGGATTTTAATAGAAATAAGGTGAAATAAGTATTTTTTTTTACTCTGTGAGAACTTAAAGCACTGTCCCTGGTGCTGAAAACAGCTCAGGACGCACCCTTCGTTATGAGCGTGGACGCTGGAAAAGCTCTTGATGGGCTTTTAAGAAACTCTCGGATATTGAATTATCTGATAATGTAGACTGTGGATATGTTTTTGTTTTTTCCTCAGCCTGAAGAACAAATCTATACTTTATGCATGAGTCTGTGCCTATTACACTGAACTAACAACAGACTAAGGAGTAAACGGATAATATTTCATGGATTAACTTGGTCAAGTAATAATTTTTTTCATAACAAAACTGACCATTAAATAATATTACTTTTACCCAAGAAAAACTGAAATAGTGCTAGACAGGATTTAAATTAATAATTTAATGCATCAGTGGATGTTCAGATCACGTTCAAGTTTAAATCACACGTCATTTAGAGGTCAGTGTTTTGAATATTTTGTCATTTCAGCAGCACAAACATGTTCCTTAGGAGGCAGAGCAGGTTGTCCAGGAATCAGAAGGTTGTGGGTTTGATCCCGGCTCCCGCCTGAGAATGCTACTGTTGTGTCCTTGGGCAAGACACTTAACCTGCCTGCTGGTGGCGCCTGTCTCTGACAGCCTAGCTTCTGTCAATGCACCACAAGGCTAGCCTAGTGAACTAGACCAAATTCTTGCTTTGCAAAGAATGGTCTAGGCATGCTCCATTGGAACTTCAGCAGCTCCTACCAGGACTCTGGCTAGCCAATCACAGCTCTCTAGAGGGGTTTCAAACACATAAAGAGCTGTGATTGGTCCATAATGGTGGGCTAATCATAGTGCTCTATCTGCTTAGCGAACAAATCACAGAGCTTTATTGGCTTTGTGAGCCAATCAGGGCACTCTATATGCCTGGTGGGTGAGATGATGCAACAGAGTGAAACAAGAGTATGTCACATTCATTGTCCAGTGGAATGCGGAAATCATTTGAAAGACAACGGTAGAACCCGCCCCACAACCGAGAGCCGTCAATGGAACGTGGCCAGACTAAATAATACATTTATTTAGTCTGGCTTGCCAGGCTACCACAAGGCAGCTGCGGGTACATTGTTGCTCATCACCATCAACGTGAATGTGTGTGTGTGAATGGGTGAATGACTAATTGTGTTATGAAGCTCCTTCGGGGGGTTGTAGGGGTTGTTTAACATGCAGGCTAAACACAAAAATAGTCTTCTACCACGATTTCCTGCATCAGTCGACGATGGAACAGAAAAAGATCAGAAGAGCCATTCAGATTTACGTCACATTAAAGAAATTGCATCCGCCTTTCACCCTTCTTGACTCACAACGAGGAAGACAGTTGTTGGTTTAGCGCCCAGGAAAGAGCTTGTTTCAGCTAGTAGAAGCTAACCATTAACATTAGCAACTCTACCGCACAGCATAACTCCTTCAGGCTTGTGTTATTTATGGAGATAAAACATCAACATTGCAGAACAAACTGAGTCAGAGGTAGAATCGTGTTGCTGTTATCCAGTCAGAGGTGAGATATCCACATATCAGGAAATGACTCCGAATTCTGCTGTATTCTGCTCGCCTCTCCTCTGACTCACTTCTAGCTCCCGAAACAGGAGCACCAGAGCTTTCTTCTCTGAGATCGACTACTAAGACAGTCATTTATACTAGAGACCACTGCAAATGTCTTTTTACTCATTCATTCAACAGAATGAGCTACTTATTGACCCAATTACTGTTTTGTTATTTTGATTAATCATTTATCAAAACCAGACTCATCAGCATCAACTCTGGAGTTATCTATTCTTCTGTGTTGTCTAGCTGCTTGTTCATTGATCAGCCTATTGATTCACCTTTCTCCTGTTGCATCTCCCTCTGTCATCGGCTGAAAACAAAATTGATTGAGGTCCTCAGAGTCACCTTGCATCTGATTTGTTTACACTTCTCTTAATTTGTTCACCCCGTTGCTTGCAGGGTTAGGTCTTGCAGAAATGAATCAGGGATTTTGTAAATTAAAGATGACATCTGAAGATTTATTAGGAAATCTTATTATTAATCACAAACTTTTTTGTTTTAACTTCATGAGTAAAATAATCAACAACAGTTATCTGCTTTATGGTTCATTTGCACAGCTGATTTAGTAATTTTACCAATTTTTTGTAAGATTTTCACACCATTTTCCTCCAAAGAGCTTCTTCCACCCTGCACTGAATTTTCTGCTACCCGTAGGTTGTGACCTTGCATCTGAGTCTTTGTCCCTTCACTACCTCTTCATCTTCTTCTTCTGGGTTCCATTTACGGAGCTGTCATAGATGTATCTGGCTCTGACAGCTGTGCATCTGTTCTCCTGTGGGGGCCGCTGGTTGCCAGCAGACATACGTGAAGTGTCTGATTGCTGTTCTGTGTTTCCCTCCACTCTGGTGCTAATGCAAAAGGAAATGTCTAGAAAACGACACACCTCATCTAATCTGAAGTACTTTCTCTCTCTCTCTCTCTCTCTCTCTCTCTCTCTCTCTCTCTCTCTCTCTCTCTGTGTTATTCATCTTTCTTACAAGCTGCAGCCTTTCAGTAGTGAACCTCTGCACCAAGAAAAAAGAGATTAAAGGCCCCTCCTCCCTTCACTCTGATATTATCACCTCTTGGACTCTTTCTTTTTAACTTAACCAACTTGCAGTAAATCCCACCAGTTTTCACATTTTTATTTTATTTTTTGTTTCCTTAAAGTGATTTCTCATTGTGTTCTCACATCACGTCTTTTTACCCTCCTTCCTCTCATTCATTCATCACTCACTCTTATAATCCATCTTTTCAAAGCCCCCCCCCCCCCCCCCCCCCCCCCCCACACACACACACACACACCCTCCAGCTTCTCTTCCTGTCTCTCATTCTTGCTCATGGGCACATTCAATATCCTGCTTTCTCTCCCTTCCCCTCTTATCATCCCCCTCTCATTCATTCACACATCTGTCTTCTCTCTCTCTCTCTCTCTCTCTCTCTCTGTCTCTCTCTCTCTCTCTCTCTCTCTCTCTCATTTTGTTGTTTATTCGCCACCTCTGCCTCCCTCCCAATCATCCTGCCAATCACACATCAGCATTTCACAACATGTAAATATCATGCCACGTGGGGAGGTTGACAGGATCTTTGTATCCAAAACAGCACGGCTCAAACACACACACACACACACACACACACACACACACACACACACACACACACACACACACACACACACACACACACACACACACACACACACACACACACACACACACGTATCTCCGTCTGGGCGGGTAGGGGCTGCAGCAGATTTGTGAACGGCGCGGCTGCATCATCATGGTCCGCTTCTCGCCGCTCGAGACCCGAGTTGTTTCATTGATAAACATTCCGGTTGCTGCATTTCTGTCACGGAGCGCGTGGAGGAGGACCGGAGCATCTCCGGAGCAGCAGGAGAGGGAGCATCGGCTGCAGTGATGATGCGCATCAGCAGCACCCGGTGCCAGTGGAGAAGCTGTTGATTCACCACCCGGACCCCATCCACTCCCCCTCACTCTCTCTCTCTGGACGCTTAAGAGAATCACCTGAGGGGGAGTTGGGCAGCTTCTGAAACCCCCCCACAACCCCCTCCCCTGGGGGATGGGAGGCGCTCTGCCACTGGAACATCTCTGGATCTGCTCGGACGCATCCGTGAGGCGCGCGGACGCACGGATGGAGGATTCTGGATGCTTAATGAAATCACGGAGATCTGCGAGCCTGCAGCCACCGGTGTGTGATGCGAACTGAGTCGTGGGTGGCGTAGTCCCCCTTTCTCCTCTCCTCTCCTTTCCTCCCCCCTCCCCCCATACCCCCACCTCTCCCCTTACCACGAACACTCCCTCTAACCGGGACGCACAGCCTTGTTTCACTCCATCGGGGTAAGCATGTCCCGGGCAGCGGCTATCGCCAGCTCCCTCATCCGCCAGAAGCGGCAGGCAAGGGAGCGGGAGAAGGCAAACGCCTGCCGCGGCAGCAGCAGCCCGAGCAACAGCAAAGGAGCCAACGAGAAGCCGAGCAAGCTGAATGTGTTCTCGCGGGTGAAGCTGTTTGGGTCGAGGAAGAAACGGAAGAGGAGGCGACCACCAGGTCTGAGGGATGAGGGAAGAGCAGTCAGAATATCACGGGGAACATCATAATCATCCTCTTTATCATCAGCATCATCATCACCAACACCATCTTCTCTTCATCACTAAGGACAGACTCACCATCACTTCATCATGTGTCACCCTTCAGGAACAGAGCTGTGTCTCATATTGGCCCTGCTGCTGTTCTTCATGTTAAACATCTGATGAGGGTTTGATAAGTTCATGTTGTCCCACAGCAGCAGGTGTCTGAGAAAGAAATCCCACTAAACGTCATCCTGGATTATCAGGGTGGAATTTCTCACATCAGTCATTATTCATGTGGTTAAAATATCCTCCATGGCAAGGAATGTTTATGTCCTCATCGTGTGTGTGTGTGTGTGTGTGTGCGTGTGTGTTTGTGTGTGTGTGTGTGTGTGTGTGTGTGTGTGTGTGTGTTTAACTTCCTCACCTGGAAGGTGAGGAGGTACATTGATTATAGCTTTTTATTTTAAATGCATCAGAATACCAAGCATGTGAAACTGGACCATTTAAAGCAATGCTTGAGGTTTTTGTGGCAGCAGAAAGATAAATCATCTAAGAAATCAAATGTTGCATTTACTTAACCAAGTTATGTCTACTGGTTCGACTACACCTAGTTTTAAAGTGTACTAAAATTTACTTTTAACCAGGAATGCTCAATATGCTTTTTTAAAAACCGATATCCGATATACTGATTTTATCGACTCTCAATTTCTGATACCAATATGAAGCAATACTGATAAATGTGGGGTCCCCCCTCATGAAAAATAAAATACTTTAGGTTACTAACATCACATATTTCCTATAAATTTCCTGTGCACAAGAAGAACTACTTCAAATGAAGTTAGTAATAGGAAAAGTGCCATATTCAGTTTCCCTCCAACAGCAGCTGAATCTCATTCTCCCTAAGTATTAGTTTTATTTTTCTGTAAACTGCAGTTTTGGGGATAAAACATTTACCAAGATCTCTTTGGTGTGTTCTTACGTTTAGTTTCCAATTCCATTTTTGGTTCCTTTTAAAACACAGGAAAGGTTTTTATTTGCCTTGCTGACGTACGTTTCGTTTGCCGACCGCAAAACATCCTCAGAGCTGACGCTGATGGTGGCGTCACTTCCTACTCCGTTTATCCGCGGGCAGCAGAGGACGTTGTCGCCCTCTGCTGCCCGCTCTCCCCTCTCCGATGATGGATAAACGGAGTAGGAAGTGACGCCACCATCAGCGTCAGCTCTGAGGATGTTTTGCAGTCGGCAAACGAAACGTACGTCAGCAAGGCAAATAAAAACCTTTCATGTGTTTTAAAAAGAACCAAAACTGGGATTTACAAAGATCTCCAGATAAAAAAGCAAACTTTGTGTGAAGATTTTTGTTATTGTTTTAGTTGTTTGTTAGCTGTCGAGCTACATTTAGCTACGTGCTGTGAGGACAGCGTACGTTCTCTACACAGGGAACATTTCGACTGCACAATTTGCCAAATAAACTAAAATATCTCAAATACTTTACATAAGAGCTGTAGCATGTATATTCCTCCAGGCACGAGGTTGGTAGAAGGACCTTAGTGTGACCAAATCGGTCCTGAGATGTCTCCTTGGGTCACTCGACATCGTGACGCTACAGAGCTGTCATAGTTTAACATTCTGAGACAGAGGAGAATCAAGAGTATGGCATATAATATGTGTAAAATAAAAGATGTGTCACTTAAAGACCGAAAACCCATATTTTCATTTATTACGTTTTAATGCCAATATCAATCAACCAATCAATCAATCAACCAATCAATCAATCAATCAATCAATCAATCAATCAATCAATCAATCAATCAATCAATCAATCAAAGCTTTATTTATAAAGCGCCTTCCGCAACCCTGTCAGGAAGCCCAAGGCGCTGAAATATCAGCCGATATTAATGGTAGACCAATAATATCGAACATCAACACTTTTAACCTAACAGTTTACAATATGCTTTACATTTAATTAAGTAGATTTAGTGAAACAAGTTCACTTGACTTGGTTAATTAAAGTCAACATAAATTTTTTACAGTGTATATGTAAAAAAAATACATATCATTTATTTGATTTAGACTATAGACGGGCATAGATTAATGGATTTCCTTCAGCAGTTCTCTTTTTTCCTGCCTCTCACAGTATATCCACATACTTTTAAAAAATATATAACAGAAACCAAATTTGGTCCAAGAGGATGAAAGCAACAGTTTTCGGATAATCAGGAGTCACTTTAACAAAGACAAATAAAAATCTTCTTCCGCAGTGTTGATTTTACTCAAGCTGACTGCAATTTACTCAAATAGAGTAGAAAGTACTTTGAAAAAGAGTACATTTGGTTCCACGGACTCCTGCAGCCTGTTTGAAATTCTTCAAAATTTCACACAAATAAACAAACAAATGTTTCCTTGTCTTTTCCATTTCCTCCTCCCAGAGCCCCAGTTAAAGGGCATTGTGACCAGACTTTCCAGTCGCCAGGGCTTCCAGCTGCAGATGCAGCCTGACGGCACCATTGATGGAACCAAGGATGAAGACAGCACCTATGGTGAGCCTGTCTGCCATCTTTAAGGAAACCAGAACAATAACAATCTAAATGGTTTTCATTTGATTCGTTTTTCCAAAAAACCATTTGCTGCTGCAAGTCATCCTTTCCCCCGTTTTGATTAATCAGACACTCTTTGTGAGCTGTAGTTGAGTTTGGCTGTAAAACGTCAGGAAATGTTAGAAAGCATGAAGAGATCCGAAGGAGCTGAAGCAACTAATTTGTCTCATTTGTAAAGAAAATGGTTCAATTTGTCATCAGCAAAATTATTTTCACTCATTCAACAAGTCTCCATCTTTGGAGCCAATAAATCAATATTTGGTTTAAATAAATCCATCATTTTCCTAATATCCACTTACATTTCCTGTTTAATTCCTTGTTTTAATTAAAATAAGCAATTAATGAAGCAAAGTAAAAGATTAGAGGTTGTACCAACTTCCTATTTTAGTTCAAAACATGAAAGAAAACGTTAAAAAGACACACTTCAGTACAGGAGAGACTCGAACCATGTTTTCTTTATCGTACTTTGGGCTCACATTGCCTCAGGTGACGAAAGAATATTGGATTGTGTCAAAGGTTTGATCTCCAGCAAAGGGTGATTTAATTTACTACCTGTTCAATGCACTTGGAGGTTGGCATCCAACTCCAGTTAAATCCAATTTACTGATAAAGTTCAGTCTGTGGAAACAAATTTGACCTGGGGCATTTAATTCAGGTAGTCACTCAACAACATGTCAAGCGCTCATTTAATTAGCGAGATGGTGCGTCCCCTCCAAATGTCACGTGGCGACGCCATCCGAACAATATATCTGTGCTTTTGGCTCAAATGAATTGATTAAGCGTCAACACAAAACACAGGGCAGGGTTTTCTGTGCCCCTCATTTTAGACAAAAATAAAATACCGTGACATTTCTTTGCTGCTCTGCCTCGTTCTCAGGCTACAATATGAGATTAATTCCACTAATTCAATCCTCTTGTTGTCGCTCAGACGGCAATCACTCTTCTTCTCCTGCACAGCTGGTTTTCCTGCATCTCACATTCATTTCTGCAGCTTTTCAGGCCACTGGCTGTTAGGTTGAAAAGAAAAAAACACACTTACACACACATGTGGAAGTGTGTTCTTTAATTAAATGATTACGCCCGGTGTACATCATGTTAACGCCTACCCACATGAACTCCGTAACCCATGGCTGGGCTTGGATGGATAATCCCTGTAATCTTAGTCTCCAAACAACCACAGTCATTAAAAAGAACATGCTTGGCTGAATGACTGTAATTAAACAACAGCTTGAATCACAAAACTCGGAGGTATACTTATGTCCCACTTCTACAGCTTCTTATAGACCGCTGCAACTTCTCTGTTTGTGGATTCAAAATAAAGAAGAAATCTACATGAAAAACAAAATTAAAAGCAACTACCGAGGGGAAAGAGTGGAAACAGATTCCCAGTTGACCTATTTATCCACGTTCAGGGTAATTCATTAAAGTACGTGACGTTCTCTGTTAGCAACGTGTCCCGGTACCTAAAAGACAAAAGTCCCGTTTCCACTATTGAGATTTCCAGGTCATTTTACCATACCTTTGTGGCGTTTCACCGTTTTACCAGGCCAGCCAGAAAGGACCATGTTCTGGGCCATTTTACCCCCAACTGGAGTATTTACAGGGCTGGCCCAAGCATTTGTTGGGCCCTAAGCAGGTTTTTCTTTGGGGGCCCCCCCATACCAACCAGTCAACACCAGATAATTCATACTAGTCAACAATAATAACTGTGTTTGATTATGTTTGGCATGTAATTTGACATTTATTTACTTGTAAAAATTTGCAATTAAACCAACTACAAATCTGACGTTGCATTTATGACATCACTGCAGAATCTCTTCTCCTCCAGCGTAGCTGCTACTTAGCACACGGCCAGATATACAGTGGCTTTCTCCACGTTTAAAGCTGCTTATTTTGTCCCAGAAGAAGGAATAGCAGCTCACTAAACTCACAGCCATTTCTTCTTCTTCTTCTTCTTCTTCTTCTTCTTCTTCTTCTTCTTCTTCTTCTTCTTCTTCTTCTTCTTCTTCTTCTTCTTCTCCGTATTTGGTATGATGACGTGAATTTAGAGAGACAAGCAGTTGGAATTCTCTTTTCACACAATACCTAAAATATCTTTTACCACCTGTTTAAAATAAGCACTTTCTTGGCATCAAAATGTGTCTTAAAAATGAACGGACATTATATGTTAAATCTATGGCATGCATCAAACGAGATCTGAAAATAACTTTTATTGCTTCATGGACTCCTGTTCACTTTTTGGACAGGCTAATAAAGGAGGTTTTGGGGTCTTGAAATCAAAGCCCATGTCCCGTGACAAATGCAGATAAAACTAACTTCATACCAAATATTGATTTGTATCTTTGTACACATTTTGGTAAGACAGAAATAGAACAAAAAGTCCCGTAAAGCTGTTAAGGAATTTTCTGTTGTGATTTTTCACAGGAAATCGTTCAAATTAAAATCCTCACAGAAAATCTCCTGGTAGGTTTCTGTCTGTTCGTTGTATGTTCCCCTAGACCAGGGCCGGACCTGGCCTGGCCCGCGGGCCGCCCGCCTATTGAGTACCTCTGCCCTAGACAAAGAGTGCAAGAGTAAACAAGCTCTATGCACATTTATGTACATACAGGACAAATATTATATGTGTGTTTCTTTTCTGTGTGAATTCATGTATGAAGCCATGAAACTCTGTACTTCATATATTTATGTAGACTAGATGTTGCCTCTTGTATTGTTGCACTAACAATACACAGACCATTCTGAGCAGTTAACAGTTTTTAACAGAATTCAAATCTGTTAATAGTGAAAACAAAGACTTTTAACTTCATTTAAATCTAAGATTAAGTTGAAATGCAGGGCTCTGCAGAGAAAACCTGCACGCTTTTATTCTGCGTGAGTTTTACATTTACACTTGCCACCAACGTAAACATTTTTGCAGACCAGTCACACCTCCCACTTAGTAACCACACTCTCCTACAGAAGCATCCCCCTCTTTAACAAGATTGCTGCAAATCCTGCAGAAACAGCTTAGAAAGGACTCAGAGAACATGACAGAGAATTAGGTGTTTTCTTAGCTTCCAGACTTCTCAGAATCCAATCTGATGACTTCCAAGGGGACCCATACACTGTAAGAAATAAAATGTTGAATTTACTGAAAGTTATGTCACCTACTTCCACTAAACCTAGTTGCGTAATGAGTGATATACGTTGTTATATGCTGTTATGTTAAAAGTAAATGTTTATTACTATGAAAAATTTAGCAACTAGGTTTAGTGGAACCAATTGTCATAACTAAGTGAATTAAATTCAACTTTTAATTTCTTTGAGTGTCGGTAGGACATTGTAATGACCATTTAATGGTTTTACACTGCAAGTCTTTGTTGGTTAACAGAATTAGGGAGGGGGGTGGGGGTGAAAAGGAGTCGCATAAAACCTCATACAGGAACAATAATACCTAAAATAAATGTTTCAGTATTGTTTTTATTATCATTATTCAGTCAACACTTAATGTGTCATTGTGTGGTTTTGTCGTGTGTTGTTCAAAATTACTACTTGATAAGAATTAAGTAGCATGATAACGAGTAAATAATTATATAAATGAATAAATAAATAAATAAATAAATAAGACATGGAATGTTAGGTGCGTTTTTTTCTTTCATGTTGAATTGTTCCTGTTTGTTGTTTTGTTTTTGCGTGTCCGCCTGTTGTGTGTGGGGAATGAATTGAGACTATGTTTTGGTTACTTTCACATAAATGGATTAATTTTATGCGTTAAATAAATAAATAAACAAATATTAACTGAATTGTTGTTTGCCGATAATAAAACGTTTAACTTAGCCTAGCAAATAAACAAAAATCAACTGATTGTTAACAGGATTAAAATAACACCCAGTTGCTCCTCTAGGTTTTGGCTTAAAATGAGGAGGAAAAAGGAGCTGTGAACTCGGTGGTTTTGCCTCTTATTGCAAAAATGTTTACCAACCCATTTTTGTGTTGTTTACATTTAATAATTCCTACTGTTTTTCCATTGCATGTGTAATCCCGGGAGCTAAATTGCTTGTGAAGTTCAGGAGCCTTTGTGCCTGACTGAACATTTATAATAGCTTCTCTGGTGTGAAATGGAGGTGTCATTGTGTCTGTGATATTGATGAGGATCATTCTCTGTTTCCCCCGGTGCGAACGTCCATTTGTTTGCTCTGTGTGTGTGTGTGTGTGTGTGTGTGTGTGTGTGTGTGTGTGTGTGTGTGTGTGTGTGTGTGCAGCCGTGTTCAACCTGATCCCCGTTGGGCTTCGTGTGGTGGCCATCCAGGGCGTCCAGACCAAACTCTACCTAGCGATGAACAACGAAGGCTTCGTCTACACCTCTGTAGGTTGCCACGGAAAACTCGTGATCACAGCTATCATCATCACTACTGGCAAGCCATCATCAGGCTGAGTAATGGAGCAGAAGCTTACAGTGAGAGTGGACTCATTATCATCACACCGACCCAAACTTCGGTGTAACTGCCTTGAGAGTCAGCTGACAGATTCGAATCCAGCCTAACTCATCCGTCCTCTGATTCCAGATAGTTTCTCGCCCTCATTCTGTTTATCTTCCTGACAGTCATCCTTTTGATGAAAACTCACACACACACACACACACACACACACACACACACACACACACACACACACACACACACACACACACACACACACACACACACACACACACACACACACACACACACACACACACACACACACACACACACACACACACACACACACACACACACTGGCCCTCTGCTTTCTTTTAATCAGGCAGAAAGTACCGCCGGCTGTTGGGTTTTGCTTTCAGCACCTTGTTTCAGCTCTTCAGCCCTGGTGGTGGGTGGTGTGGAAGCAATAACAAGAAGATCCAACAAAAACATCACGGACTTCCAGCAGTCTAAACAAATAAACCTGTGGTACCAGCAAATGAAAAACAGAAAAGGGGAAAAAAATGGAGAAAAAAAACCAGCAACTAACCACTGAGAAATAACTACAACGCTGCTACGCCTTTGCACGTACACCACCTTGGTATCTGCTCAATCTCTAGCTCTGGATGCTGTCTGCTGTTTTTTCTGAGTGCTGGCCTCTGTCACAACACTTCAATCACTTGCTCCATCTGCTAAGCTGATATTAAAAAGCAGAAAACATCAAAAATATTTATAAACACACAGCAGGCAAAGCAGAATGTCACCTCTATTCAAACACGGTTCGTTTGGAACTTCATCAGAATTCGCGCCGTGGTGACAAAGATCACCCTTTCTGTATCTTTCTGTTTCCCTCAGCAACCTGGACACCATCTTTCCCAGTGGGCTGGTTGGTATTCAAGGGAGTAGCTGGTTTCTATGGAGACGCAGGAATAAGGAAATGCAAATGTCAGCTGTCCTAAGTTGGTGTGGTTTATTCTTTTAGACTACCGGCTGGCCGAGATAATGAATCAAAGAGCAGACAGGCTGATTGATGAAGTGGAGGAATGATTGAGTGCTTTTTAGATTGGAGCTGCTGCTACAAACTCATATCTTCTGTAACCCTTCTCATCCTGCAGCTAACACCCCCTCACACACACACACACCCACACACACCCCACCCCAACACTTGCCCCACTTCACTGCTTCCACTTAATTGCCTCCTTGTCGCCTTTCTTTTGCCATTTGTCCTAATATGTGTCACGATTCCCACGCAGGAACACTTCACCCCGGAGTGTAAGTTTAAGGAGTCGGTGTTTGAGAACTACTACGTCACCTACTCCTCCATGATGTACCGGCAGCAGAACTCAGGCCGGGCTTGGTACCTGGGACTCAACAAGGACGGGGCAATCATGAAGGGGAACCACGTCAAGAAGAACAAGGCTGCTGCACACTTCATACCCAAACCACTCAAAGGTACGAAAACAGGACAGCAGTGATGAACTCACTTAGAATATACTTTTATGTTTATGGTGATGATGATATTGTTGCAATCCTGAGCATGCTGCAGCATCACTCGTCTCTTTCTGCTGTCTGCTAGAAGTCTGCAGTGTTTGGACAGCTGTTTGTACAAAAGTTTTTTTAATCAAAGAAACAGCTGTTTCCTTGTTTAAGACTAGCTGCACAATCTGGAGAGAGCAAGAGTTTTGTTTGCATCAAATGTTTTAGAACACGCCAAAAAGAAATCTAAAGTTAACATGTATCCAGTTTTATAAACAAAACACCCCCAAACACCTGATTTAATAAAGAAAACTAGCATTTTACAGACAATATGTATACTTCTATATCCAGACCTCATTTGTTATCCCTCCCACTATCTTTATGGGTGACCGCGAGGAAAGTTGACCATTGGGGTCCATGTGGCAGGGGTGAGGTGGTGCTCACTCCTCACCCCTGCCACATGGACCCAAGGGATAAAACATCAATCCTCCTCAATGGTCAACTTTCCTCGCGGGGAGGATGCAAAAACTAGGGAAGAGTTTTGTGAGATCATGGAACAAGACTTCCGCACAGCTTTGAGGAGATTCTGGTCCACCATTGGGTGCCTCAGGAGAGGAAAGCAGTGCACTACCAATACTGTTTATAGTGTAGCATTCTGTTTATGGACAGGGATTCTAGACACAGCCAAGGTAGTGAGGGGATCCGTTTTGGTGGCCTGATGATCAGGTCTCTGCTTTGTGTAGATGATGTGGTCCTGTTGGCTTCATCAGAATGTGATCTCTGGCTTTCGCTGGAGCGGTTTGCAGCTGAGTGTGAAGCAGCTCGGATGAGAATCAGCTCCTCTTATTCCGAGATCATGGTCTTGATTCAAAAAGGGTATAATGCCTGCTCTGTGAGAGGGATGAGGTCCTGCCCCAAGTGGAGGAGTTTAAGTATCTTTGGGTCTTGTTCACGAGTGAGGAAAAGATGGAGCGGGAGATTGATAGGTGGACTGGTGCTGTGTCTGCAGTGATGCGGGCGTTGTACCGATCTGTCGTGGAAGAGAGCTGAGCTGATGGATCTACGTTCCTACCCTCACCTATGGTCAAGAGCTTTGGGTAGTGACGGAAAGAACGAGATTGTGGATACGAGCGGCCAAAATGTGTTTCCTCCACAGGGTGTCTGGGCTCTCCCTTAGAGATAGGGTGAGAAGCTCATCCAGGAGGGGCTCGGAGTAGATCCGCTGCTCCTCCACAGTGAGAGGAACCAGATGAGGTGGCTCAAGCACCTGGTTAGGATGCTTCCTGGATGTCTCCTTGGTGAGGTTTTCCAAGCACGTGCAACCAGGAAGAGAACCAAAGGAAGACCCAGGACACAATGATGGGACTGGGGAACACTTTTGGCTGCTTCCCCCACGACCCGGCCCCGATAAGTGGACAATAATTCATAGATGGATGGAAGGTCACATAGTCAAAGCATTTTTGAAGTTACTTTGGTTTCTGTTGTGCAGCGCTTCATTTGGTCCTTGGGCCATGTGAAAGCGCTATATAAACAAAGTTTAGTAGTACTTTAAAAACTTAGGTACCCCAGCTTCAAACTGCTGATAATCACATGGATCGAACTGATTGTCACTTCATGGTTTGCATTATGACTTATTTAGTTTGATACTCACTTCAAGCTGCAGCTTCCAATGCAAGTGGTCCGAAAACCCACCTGACTGGCAAAACAGCAGATACACAAAGTTAGCTAGAGACAGATTCATTTCCCACAGGAATAAATGGACAGCTAAACAAAGCAGAGAGGGAGAGTGGATATTGGATTTAGATTCATTAAATGGATACAAACACGGCTTGAAACAAATGCTGTTGGTGTGTGAGCAGAACTAGTGTGGAGCTTAACAGTGTGTTACCGAGCAACTGTTTACTAATTGATTCTTTCTAATGAAACTGTGCTTTCTTTGTTAATTTCGTATATTATGCTAAATGATGTCAGGAGATTGCAGTGTACTGCTGTTAAATTCATGGGGGGATATAAATCAGGACCTGCTGTGTGCAGGATTAACCGCACTTATACTGATGGTGTGTGAATAGGACTTGAAGTGTAAAGTGCTTGGAGTGGTCGATAAGACTAGAAAAGGGTTTTGTAAATGCATTCCATTTATGAAGTCAAACCTGAGTGGTTCAGTAACTGAATTAATATTGTGTGTGTGTGTGTGTGTGTGTGTGTGTGTGTGTGTGTGTGTGTGTGTAGTGGCCATGTACAGGGAGCCATCCCTCCATGACCTGACGGAGCTCTCACGTTCAAGCAGCGGCACACCAACCAAGAGCCGCAGCGCTTCAAACCTTCTCAACGGTGGCAGGAAGACGCCCAGCAACGATGACTTATCCTAGCCTCTCTACCCCTCACACACACAATTACACATCAACAGAAACACACACACACACACAAACACATGCAAACACACAGATCTCAGGCCTATATTCCCATGCATCACACTTGTGAGGGGTGGAACAAGGTGAGGAAACAAAAGGAAGACAGGAATGTGTTCTTCCACTCCACAAAGCCCACTGTGACTGACTGTGATGTAAATAAATCAAGGACAATCAATTAGTTTTATTTTTTTTTGGCTCTGCTTTCCTGGTGAGCAGAGGGACTGGACCAGGGACTCTTCCCTCCATGAACTCTTCCTGCTAACCAGATACTACCAGGGAGAGAAATACATGAAGAAGGGACAGAGACAGCTGGTCAGTCAGTCACACAGTGAGATCAACAGACTGTTACAGAGAACCAAAGAGTCAAGGTGTTAACTTACAAGTTACCGCTTTGAAAAGGCCAGAGGTCAGGAAGTTACAGGGAGCTACAGCCTGGAGGAATCTTTATTCTACAGTATGTTTACACAGAGCTCATGGGGTTAAGTCATATTTTCAAAAACAACAGAAATATTCCTCGTACATGCGAGGATTTACCATTCGTTTGCATGCAGGTGCGCCTGAGTGTGTGTGTGTGTGTGTGTGTGTGTGTGTGTGTGTGTGTGTGTGTGTGCAAGAGTGCTTGCTGTGTTTGCAATAGGTGTGTGTGTGCGCGCGCACATGCATGTGTCTTGGGGAGGGGGGGGGATTTTGCCTTTTTCAGATTCGTTGTATATCCGACAAACATCCCGAGGGCTTTAGCAGGTTACATATGAAGTTTACTGTATATGCTTCCATGCTTACTTCTTACAGCACTGCTGTTGTTTGCCTTTGCCTTTCTGTTCGTAGCTGTCGTCCCTTGCTGTTTGTTTATTTGTTTGTTTGTTTGTTGTTGCATGGAAGCTTGTGGACCTCTGCTCAGTAGCAGCATGCTGACGGTCTTTCCCCCCTCCACCCTCTGGACCTTGGTGATACTGACCACAAAATCACTAGTGAGCCAACAGTGTGATACCAGAACACTAGTGAACCATTGTGAGGGTGTTAGGACACTACTGGACCAATAGTATTGCACCAGAACATGTGGTGTTGGACCAGATTGTTGGGTAACCAATGGGAGCACAGATTAACTTAATATTTTGGGTCCTGCAGTGGACAAACTAAAAATGCACTAAATAAACTCTTTGTAAAGAAGTGAATCGACTGACTCGATTATTTATTGACACATCTTCTGAAGATTCAGATGACAAATGAAGTCAGATTAAGGTTCATAGTTTTCACAACTCACCTCTTGCATTCATTTGTGCTGCAATGTGAGTCCCAACTGCCACCATAAACACTCCACTCGTTTGGTTTTAGGAATAATCGGCCTAAAAAGACTCGTTTCAAAAAGTCCCCATTTGTGATGTCACAAAAATGGAAAGTAGAATGGAACCACCTCCCACGTGCAAGAGAGTTGTTGCTGGTGAAGCAGTGGCTCAACTAAGAGCCCCTCCCAAATATTAGAGCTAACAGCAGCCTGAGTGGAGGATGGTGGGCATGGCCAACTCCAGCTTGTCTTCTTAAAGTGACAGAACCCTGAAACGGCTCATTCTGGAAGGCTCTGAAGCTGTCATGTGAGATGGAGTTTGTGCAAATGATCATGTTTTGTATAGAATTATAATAACTTAAAGAAAAAGTCATGTTGATGACTGACAGTGTATGTGACCAAACTCCAAAAGTATTTACTCATCAATAATTGTTTATTTGTAGATTTCATTGAAACTTTTGATTAGTTTTAAGGTTATTTTCTGTGTAAAACTCATTAACAATGACCAGTTGTAGATGGCTTAATAAATGGCCTGTGTTCTACAGTACTGATATGCTAACAGCTAGTTCAAATGCTTGTCAAGTGTCCTATGTGCTACATTTTACTTGCTGAAGATACTCATGCTTGAAAAGTCACCACTCTCTCAAGACTGTTTTCTTTTCCACGGTTATATATGCTTGGAAGACTGGGGTTGCATTATAATGATGCTTTAATCCAATTTACCAGCTCCTTCATTTGGGGCACATTTGGCAAATTCACATTTTATATTAAACAAATTAGAATTACAGCTTAATTGCATTTCCTGCAACCAATAAGCCTGAATGGAGGCCTGGTATTATTTGGTTTTGTTGCTTTGTATAGGAGTGGCATTTTAGAAATAAAATCAGTTGAATGAAACTTCCGGCCTTTCACCCAATAAACACCCTCTCCACAACCCTATCATAACCACGGAGCTGGTTCAGTGATAGTTCTGTGCCAGAACCTGACATAACACAGTTTCTAATGCACCTATTTCTTGTTTGCAAACCAGTGCTAAACCTAGCACCAACTCCAAGCTAGTACTGGCTGAGATCCACTTTTTTTTTTCTTTCCTGCTCGCAATGGTGACACAATCAAGGTTTGGGGGCAGGATTACGAATGCAAAGCGAGGCGAAACACACAACTGCCTTTTTATTCGATAACTATGGACTACCTGTAGAAAATAGTGGAATAAAATATTTTTGTTGTCATTGTAACAAGTACAATGAACTTATATACACATCTTTGCAATCCCAGGAAAGTGTGGAAGCACAAAAGCAGTTAGAACATGGTGAATTCCATTGCTGAAATCTATGTCTGGATGAGCGTTTCACGTTTTCCTGTGTGGACCTAACGGTTGTGTTGTGGTGCTTTGGATGATGTGATGACGCAGCACGCACCAACTAAGTATTGGACTCTGGCACCGGGACCAAACTAGCAACATTTCGTTTTGATAGAAAAAGGGATGAAATGGTACAGAATATGGATGAATGGATGAATTGAAAGTAATTATATAATTTAATGCAAATGGTGTAATATGAAAATCACAGCAGTGAAAAGATTTATAAATATCAAAACCTGTAAATATAAAATCTGGTAGATTGCAGCCATTTTAGCCCTTTAAGCCACAAATATAAATAAACAATTAAAAACAATCTTTTAAAGAAGCAATGTGTAGTTTTTACCATTAATCTCTGGAAATATCCATCAAAATGTTGTTGAAAATGATTTTAATGATGACCAGTTTTGTAACATACAATAATCGGGCCTAAGCGGGTCTTATTTCTGGGAGATGCCATGTTTCTTTCTACGGGAGCCCGGTGAGGACAAAACTCATTTACAGATTTGTGACAAACAGTCACTAAACTTTCACCATTCACTAAAGCTGTTGTTTTACACATTTACCTCTTCACTCATTGCCAGTGTTGAAAGGAAGTCTGGTCTGTTTGTCATTTTGCTGGAAGTTGAGCTCCCAGAGATTTTTGATCCTAATGGCCTTCCGTTGGTAAGGTCTTACTCGACTACAAAAGCACTGCTTGCTTGTAATGATTTAGGTATGCACTGCCCCCTATCGTCAAGAAAAACACACATTGTCACTTTAAATTGAGCTATTAATTGACAAAATTTCATATAGCAACTATAGAATAGGTAAATCTTGCACCAGAGGGCAAAAGGCGTGTTTAGAACTGGATATGGAAGCTTTCTGATCCTGATTCTCCATCTGAATGTAGACATCAGTCTACAAGGGAGTTAAGGCAACACCAATACACATTGGTCTTTGAATAATCTGTTATTCAATCAGTCCCATTGGTTGTAAAAGCTATTTATCCTAACAGAGGCCATTCAGAAAGCCTTTACAATGGGTGCAAGCATTCCTGTGAAGTTTTAGCCCGAATATATCAAATTATTTGTTTTGCACTATAATTAAAATAAACTCATCTTCCCTGAGAGGAGACAGAACAAAAGAGTATGCTTATTTATAATCCCCAAGTTGTAGCTTTTGTTTATTTACTGGCAGTTTGACAGAACACGGCATCAAACTTCCTTTTCATTATCTTAAGAGTCTCAGGACCTCAGGTTTTTGGCTAGTTTAGCTATGCAATGTGTTTAAGCATTGAAATATTAATGGTGATGGTGACGTGTGTTCTTCAATGATGCAGATCAGAGGAAAGTCTAAAAGAGATTAAAAAATGCGAGCCACATCAAAGAAACAAAGCAAAGACTGATATATGAGCGGCTTTTTAGTTGTCATGTACATAATTAATGTAGTGTAGACAAAAGATAGAACAGACATTTGCCACTAGGTGGAGCTGGCAGCTCTTAAATTTAGTAATTTCAGAAGCAGAGATTCTGTCTCAGAAACACAAAAACCAGTTTGGATTTCTAGAAACTTTTTTTTACTTCAGCATTTGAAAAAATATAATTGCAATGACACTGAAGCGGTTTTCTTCAAATGCTTTGACTACAGGAATATTTTTAAAAAACATTTATATGATCACAGAATAGAACAGGGTAAAGTGCAAACAACAAATATAAAATAAATCTGAATTATGTTTAAAGCAACCATTTCACATTGTAACAAAGAAGCAATGGCTTTATTTTAAGTACAGTGTCAAACTCAATAAAAAAAAGCTTAAATATAAGGCATAAAACACTTGTGCCAGTAATAATGATAATTTAATATTTACATTTGTTTTTTTCATTAGCATTTTCATTTTTGGTGTAAATAAATCAATAAAACGGCTGAATTAAAAAGACTGTGCTATCTTAACTCTATGAAATAGTTGCTTTTGCAACATAAACACACATAAACACAGCATCTGCTTTACCATTCATCACATTAACACTGAGCTGGTTCATCAGTAAGGTTGTGTACAGTGTCCTAGGCAGCATCAAGCTCGCTGTGCTTATAGGAGCAAACGATTCAGTCTGCTCGGCTCCTTCTATCTGTTTTTCCCTCCTTTTCAGTGCTAGTTGTCTGACTCATTCTTCTTTTACATGCTCTCCCATCGGTTTAGTTTTGTCCTTCGATTATTATTTTCCAGCTGTTTCTGTTCAGTCTAGGTCTGCTTCTTTGACTCCCACTCCTGAAGACGAGGAAACAGCACAAAGGGAAGAAAACAACATTTAGAATTTTAATTGGTTCACGATAGTTGTGAATATAATATTTAATAAGTGCTTAAACATGCCTAATACACCTATTTCTAAAACCTTTACCAGGATTTGTGTTTTACTCAAAAACATGGAATTGAATCCTACACATCTAGTAAAAGATTTAGCTATAGGTAAAAAAAAAATAAAATAAAAATCAACATTCATTTCATGTATCATCAGCAGTTTAAAGTCTCTTTCCGGAGTATTTACCGTAAATCCTCTAATACAGGCCGGTATTCAATTAAAGGCCGGGTCTCCAATTTTGGCCGGTGTCGGAGTCAGCGGAGGTGAATAATGGCCGGTCTCTTATTGTGGCCGGGTGGAATGTGGTAACAAGCAAGTACGGGGGGCGGTTGTGTCATCATCTCACTTTTGATTTGCCAGTGATAGACCGCAAGGGTAATTTTAACCGTGCGGAGACGAAGAGGAGGCGAAAATTTGATATCAAGTTCAAAGAGAACGTGCTGATTATGCTGCAGAACACTCGGGGGAGCAGTAGCAGGGGTTGTATGAACTAGTCAACTTCACTATAGTGCAGGGGTCGGCAACCTGTTGCCATCAAAGAGCCATTATCACCCGTTTTCCACAGTAAAGAAAACACCGCAGCAGCTGCGGCGTTGTGGGCGGGGCCTACCATCAGACAGCAGAGAGCTGCTCACAACAAGTGACAGCAGCCGGTACCGGTCGCTCGTGTACGTCAAAGTTATCTTTCATAAGACGATAATCAATAAAACGATTTATATAAAGTGGATCCAGAAGTTGTAGCCCGTCTCTGCCTACAATATTTTGATATTTTTCACCCTGTTGGCGGTTTTACTGAGCAGGTGTCACTTTTGTCATACGTTTCTTTTTAAAACATGTTTAGACTGTTCAGAATACAAATCCAGGCTCTGTCACGTTTGATTGTTGTAATTAAACTTTGTAGGTGGGGAAGGTCAGAAAAGGATCCAATCACTTTGTTTTCCCCTCATTTACAGTGACGGAGATAACGGCGCAGTGCGCCTGGCTCTGGTGTTAATCAAGTTAAATTATATCTCTTTGCAACAATTTTCACAAGAAAACAGAACAGTTAAAAGCAGGGCTTGTGTTGACCGGATAGTTCCCGTATTTGACTATTTATTTTGACAGAGAAAGAATAGAAAGAATTACCCCGACGCATGCAGACGAACTGACACTTTATTCGTTTCGCGCAGATGTAGCTAAATCACTAAAGAAATGATTCCCATCTGAGCTGGACACTGAGCTCAGCGCAGCTCGCTGTCAGCGCGTACGTACGGCGCACAGTGAGCTGAAGATGTGGAGAGGGGCTTGGAGCACGTCGCACAACCAGAGCGCATGCAGGAAGATTCCTCCGACTGAAGCGAGACTTGTCACTTAGAAAATGTTCACTGATTATGAAACTTTGGCTGAATAGTGCTTGTTCCTGTCTCCAATGTGGCGACACATCCATGAGCCTGTCTGAGGAGAATCCCAGAATCTCGTCTTCAGCTCAGAATGTGCCAATATGATTACGCACAAGCGTGACGCGTCAACCCGGTCTCACAGTAAGACCAGGTTGGAACTGTTCAGGTTTACACAGACAATCTTCACATTTAGAATTGGCTTACAGATATAAAATTAATTCAGTAAAATATAAAGCATTTTATTTAAATATCCATTCATTATTTTACAAGCACAGAGAGCCGCATCAGATGGATGGAAGAGTAACAATCAGGTGTCGCCACCTCAAAAACTAATTTAACACGCGATCGTTCATGTCGGTTCATTTCCTTTGATGTTTTCTGTCTTTTATTTGCGCCTGATGCGTTTCGCTGTGGAGCGGGGCACATCACCTTGTCCTCCGGTGACGCACCGATCACTGATGCGGCCGGCGCGCAGCGAGCACTCCGCTGTTTTTGCGGTTGGTAGATCTTTAGAACTGCAGTTCAAAGGTAACTCATGAGGTGAATATATATGAACCCAGGTAGCAGTTTTTCTTTAGAATTGAGAGGAGATGCAGGAAGATAATAAACAGACAGGACAGAAAAATAGTCAAATAAAAACAAGTTAGTTTTTGTGCCTGGTGGTTGCAACAAACAGACACCACTGAAGGTAATCAGAAGTGAGGAACAGAAAATGAAATAATTATTTTAATGTTTAGAGCAGCAGGAACTCTGAGAGGCTGCAGGCGCATCAGTGAGTTTGCAGCTGCTGTGCAGGGGGAGGGGAGAGAGGGCTGAAGCAGAAACTACCGTTGTTAAAAGAAATGTGTTTAACTTTGAAAATGTGGGCGCAATTTTAATTGTCAAAAACTTCAGTGACCCATTAGTTCATTTTGCTCAAATAGAAATTGAGGCCTGCCTCTAATTCTGGTCCTCCTTCCAATAAAGGCCTGGAGCTTGATGAGCTTGAGTCAAATACAGGCCCGGGCCTGTATTAGAGGATTTACGGTATCTTACTCAGTGGCACCATCTACAGGCTGACAAGCATATCACAAAAAAGTCTGTCGCTCTGTTTTTTTAAGATGGCGACTTCACGTTTCTTGTTTATAAATGTGCTTCTGTAGCTGAAAAAACAGAGCTAAAACATGTTGTTTTACAAGTATTATTCTCATGTCACGCTGTGTTTTCATATACACTTTCTTGTCCGTGAACAGTTCATCAACTCTGCATCAGCCGAGGTATTCCTTAAATTTGAAGCATCTAAGCGGTAGTCTGGTTGGCGCTCAGTTTCCTATTGCACGCAGCTCGGCGGGGTAGGGGGCGTGCTTAGCAAAAATAAATAAATAAATAAAACACGTATTGCTTACATTATATCACAGTACATGATAAGATAATCACTTTTACGGATTTCTGAAAAACCATATGTAATTCCTGAAAGTAGAAAACTCCGGAAAGCTACTTTAAAGGTGAGGAACGCTGAAAATCATTTTTAAAACATTTTTTGTGATTATAATTGGCCACTCTGAATTTTTCATGCAGGCTGAACATCTACCTACATTTACCTCCTGCATTAGCTTCTGATAGAAAATAGACAATGAAACTACAAGATTTGAAAGCCTGACAGATCTACATCACACTGTCACTTAACATTCATGGACTCACCCATCTTGACCTGCAACGGGGAAGGCTGTTGTTGGTTAATGTTCAGGAAACAGTATAGAACATTTAGGCTAGTAGAAGCTAACTGTGAGCATTAGCAACTTCACCACAGAGCAGAACTCCTCCAGACTTGTGTTATTTGTGGAGATAAAATATCCATGCTGCAAAGTCAGTGATAGAGTCATGTTGCTGCTATCCACTGCAAGGCGAGATGTCCGAATGTCAGGAAATAAGATTATGACTTACAAGGCATTCATTCATACTAGAGATGGCTGCAAATATGCTGACTAAACAAGTAGTCCACACTTTTGAATGGTCAGAATTGTTTTCATCTATATTCCAAAAACACAGAAGAGTTTGCTGGTTGCTTTTGTAATCCATGTGCTTTCATCTGCTGTATGGCTGGGTGAAAAATCTGGACTTCGTCATTTATGAATATTTAATTAGGTGAAATCTGGATTTTTACCTTACTTCGTATGTTGGAAAATGGTCAGCCCGCATGTGTTTCATAACGCATACAACAAAGTTTGACTAAAGCAGTTTGCATGAATGCTTTCCACACAAATAACACCTTAGGGTCAATAATTTAGCAGAAAGAAGTATCTGCAGTTTTTTAAACTCATGTTGCAATTAGTTTGCTGTGTACCCAGCTGCTACTGCTAAAATCTGCTATTACTGTATAGCTAGCTTCACTGCTAGCTGATGTTAGCTTTCTGAACTACTTCTGGGCAATCCAACTGAGGAGCCTCCAGTTCACTTTTGTTACAAAGCATTAATGCAGCTAATTAAAGAAGGCAAACAGTCATTATTTCAGTACTTTTGCAAAGCTCTCTACTATAAATGAATGTCTTGTGAATCACCACTTAGAAAATGTTCATTTTCATGGCTGCGGTGTAGGCACCGTGACCCTTACCAGCCAGGGTAAAAAAAAGTATCTGATTAGAAGGCTACTTGAGTACTGAGTATCATCTGATCTAATATTTTTAAATTATGACATCAAACAGACAAAAAATAAGAAGTTATGGACAAATATAGGTATGTTAAAGACTAAAGGGGAAATATGTAAACAAATAAACAACATAATTAAAAAATAACACATTTTAGGCAAAATTTTGACACAAACTGAGGACAATATTTTTCCTGATATACAGGGTTTATTTAGCTGTCTGAAAATGTAACACGTTTAAAAAAAATACCGCGATAATACCGAAAACCGTGATAATTTTGGTCACAATAACCGCGAGGTTAGATTTTCACACCGTGACAGCCCTAGCTACCTCTGCGATGTGCGTAACGATTAAAATATCAGCACATCTGCAGCCTTGAATAATCAAAATAAATGATCAAAATGGGAAGTAAACAGTCATTGTGAACCCTGTCATTTAACTGTTTTGCCTTCTTGTGAAGACTGTTGCAAACAGGAACATTTAACTTGATTAACACCAGAGCCGCGCACTACGCCGTTATCTCCATCTCTGTAAATGAGGCAAAAAGTAATTAATCGGATCCTTTTCTTACCTTTTCAACAAAGTTTAATGTAAAGTTTAGTTCAGAACAAAGTTTAATTACAATAATCCAACGAGACAGAGCCTGGATTTGTATTCTGAACAGTTTAAACATGTTTAAAAGGAGACGTGTGAAGTGTCAAACAGCATCATCTGCTCAACATTAAAACCACTAACAGGGTGAAAAATATCTACCGGTAAGTACTCTCGACACAGACGGGCTACAAGTTCTGGGTCCATTTTATACAAATTGTTTTATTAATTATCTTCTGTTGAAAGATAACTATAAGGCACATGAGTGAATGGTATTGGTTGCTGCCACCTGTTGTGATCGAATAAAGCAGCTCT